GAAAGATCTGAAAATCACTATTTCCCTTGTGGAAGTGTTGTAGGGTCCCAGCTTGATCTCTGAATGGAGCCAGGCTGTTTGTCCTTCGTTATTAAATGTCGACAAAACAGGAATTCCATTTCTGCCGGGTGCTGGGGACTCTCCGGGCTAAGTTCATTAGCGATGTAAGTTGTGGTAGTGCCGATTAGTCAGAATATAAATGCCGGTGTCATCAGGATGGAGTTCACCCCTTGTGCAAATGGAGATGAACTCCCCAAGCCTCAGAGAGGGGGTGGGGGTGGGGGTGACATCCCCAGCAGAAAGGGGAAAGGTGTAAGGTCTGCAGTGCTGTAAACCCTGGAAGTAACTGGAAGGATGTAATGAGAAAATGGTTGTTTCAGCATTTATTCCCATCACACCTGCACTGCAAGAGAAGCCCCTGAAGCCCCCAGTGGCCGTGCATGGCCCCTCACAACCCCTCCCTCGCACCCCGGCTGGAGGAAAGAGCTCGTCAACTATGCCGTCTCAGCACAGAAAACACGTTTGGGTAGGGCGAATTCAGCACCTTTTAACATGCATAATAGTGAGGCACCTGTGGAGAATGCTGAATCCCTTATCCATGGCTCAATGGTATTGTATTTGCCAGATGCAGTGAAATAACAGCCATATTTTTCTTGTCTTGAATAAGATCTTTATTTGCTTGTGAAGCATGCTAAAAGCACTACAGCACGCACAGAACTGTTTTTAAAGTTCAGAATGAAATGAACGGTCTCTCTGAAATAAATGCAGGGTTGAAAACAGAGATGCCCCCACCCTTTGCTCTGCCCCTAAGTGTGTAAAACCCTGAGCCCGCTGAAGTCAGCGTGAGTTTTGGTATCAAATGCAAGGAAGCTCTGGAGACCACCCAGCATCTCTGCAGCCTCCCTGGTGTGACTCTGCCCCGTTGCTGCATTACAGCCAAAGGTCCACGTTGCTGGAATACCTCGATTTCATCTCTTGGGGCACATGGCAATGAAAGCAAATATCATCCTTTTGTCTCCACTCCTCTCCCATCCCATCTGTGAGCATGGAGGTGCTGTAATAATTCCCTAGTTTTCATGTCTTCCTACAAAGCTGAAGACTTCCACTACATATCAGTCTCAAAGACCTGCCAATCTAATGGTTGCACTTGACAGAGTGAGGCTATGCCATACTACAGGGTAAAGGAGGACAGGAGCAACCAACATCCGATAGACTTAATTATACAGTTGGGGGCTTGTGTCTTCACTCGGGAAAAGGTGTGTTCATCCCTCGTGTTATCCAACCAGCCTGAGACCACGTCCAAGTGAAGACAAGGCTGTAGTTTGAACTGAAGTGAACAACTCCAGGCAAACACTTCACCTCAACCTGCAAACCAGTCTGAGAGCTACAGACTCTGTTATCCATACTAGGACTTTGCCTCATTGTGTGTTAACTAGTATGAACGAAGGCAGCACAATTTCCCCCCCCCCCCCATAGAAAATGCACCCAAGCAATTCAAACGATGCATATGGGCCTAGGTAGGGTAGAGGGGTTGATCGTTGCAAAGTTATACAACAGAAGCAAGTCTTCAGGAGGGACGGGTGTGGATGGAGGCTGCAACGACAGATTTACAAAGCTCATTGTAACTGTAAAAATGCAGAAGAAACAGAGAGACCAGGGGAGGCAGGAAATGAAGGAAGTTATTGTGCCAGGCTAGGAGGAAATGAAACTGCTTTAAAAAAAATTTTCTCTGTTGCTTGGAAATGAGGAGCGAGATATTCACCCTCTCAGTCCCCAGCCCTTGCCATCGGAAATGACAGCTATAAAACTGGGCTGGGGGTGACATCTTGATACGCTGTTCTACTTGCAACCAGTGTTTCCTGCTTGCAGTCACTTGCTGGGTGGCACCTCATTTAGGGCTTGTCTTTAGTAGAGAATTTACTTGCTAAAAATTCCTGTGTTGCATCTAGCTGGAGTCTCTGTTACACCAGAAAAAAAACCCTTTTTGCTCAAGTGTAGTTGTATTTTTAATTTCAATGGAGAAGCCCATTACAAGGAACATAAGCTACCGGTCCAGTTAGCACAACTCAGCCAGTAATGCAATTCCTCTGTTAGCTCTGGTAGTATCCTCAGGTGGCTGCTCTGAACCCAGCTGGGCTAACAAGAGACATGTTAATAGAGTACAGATCATTGGAATTAAATCTGGGATAAAGACATAGCCTATGAGTGGCCCCTGCTACCTTTCCAGACACAAATGGTCCTCCCACAGGTGTGAATGAGCCAGGACATGAGCACATCTGGAGCACAATGACTGAGAGACAAAGTGCCCCTTCTTCACCCTCCCCTCAAGAGCACAAAGGAAGAGAGAGAGAATAGAGAAGTGTTTCTTTGGTTTACAAATGAACCATACATGCAGCCACATCCTGTCCCTGCAGCTGCTCTCCCACAAAGCAAAACAGCGCTCGCAGCACCTTCATCACGTGATGTGCAAGTTACCTAATGCTGGGCCCAGTGAGGACAGCCCTCCCTGCAGAGCGCCCCAAACCAGGGGCCCCATCGCTTCTCTGAGCCAGCCAGGACTGGGGGAGCACTGGGTGAAGGGCACGCGGGAAAGCAAACCGCTGAGAAGTCAGGGGAGGGCTGAGCTACTGGAGACCAGGCAAGGGTTTTCCCGCTACAATTTGCCTACTGAAATATTAAGGCTAGAATTAGGGTTAAGATTAGTCGGGTTAAAACTAGGGTTAAAACTAGAGTTAGGTTTAAGATTAGTAGAGTTAAAACTAGGGTAAGGGTTAAGATTAGTAGGGTTAAGCTTGGGTTAAAACTAGGGTTAAGAATAGTAGGGTTAAAACTAGAGTTAGGCTTAAGATTAGTAGGGTTAAAACTAGGGTTAGGGTTAAGATTAATAGGGTTAAGAATAGTAGGGTTAAAACTAGAGTTAGGGTTAAGATTAGTAAGGTTAAAACTAGGGTTAAACTAGAGTTAGGGTTAATTTTAGGGTTTCTAAGAATTAGGGTTACTACAGCTGCAACTGCTCTGAGGACCTGCCCCTGACTGAGAAGAGGCATCAACCCAGACCCTCCCTGCTCCTGCCCCGCCATGCTGAGAGGACTGAGCTCCAAACTGCCCAGCGCCCGTTATAGAAAGAATGAGAAGCCCACCCACCACCCCAGTATGTGGGATGCTTCCCAAAGTCCTCCGGGGCCCGATTCCCTGCAGCAGACCCACATGCTATCCGAAGGGAGAGCCCTCATGCACTCTCCCATTGCACCACAGGGCTGTCCTTGGCCCCTTGCAATGCTGCCATGGGGTTTGGGGTCCCCCACCCCACTGAGCAAATAGATGCACTGAGCAGGGGGCCCTTGGTGCGTGGAGCGAGGCTGGCCCCGTCTCCGACAGCCTCAGCGAAGCCATCTGCCTATGAAACCAGAGACGGGGCTCCCTGTCTAGGAATCGCCCTTCAGTCCTGCCCGGAGTCACCCTGCCACCTCGCAGCCCCCCAAAACAGACCGCATGGGACAGCCTTTATCATTGGGATACCGATAGCACCAGGGCCAGTGTAGCGAGGCCATTGCCCTCTGTAAGTGAGTCGGGGAGACCCACGGTACCAGGGTCGCTGAGAAGAGCTGTCTAGTGAGCTGTCGGTTCGGTTTCAGACAGCTCTGGAGAAGAAAGGTCTGTCTTTATCCGCAGGGGAGCTATAGCCTGGAAAACAACAGCATCAGGTCCCTGCACACACTGCCCCGGGCTCTGGCCTCAACTAAAGGAAGGGCATTGAGTCCTCGCTGCACCATCACCCCTGAATGCCAACACATCTGAGACTGCAGCTGGATGACCTGCCAGGTGGGCATCTGCCTGCGATGAATCGGCCTGTGAATCACAGCTCACTTGGCCCGAAAGGTCACAACTGGGTCTTCACCCAGGCTGAACGGAGTCCAATCTCCCAAACCAGCATCTGTTAATTGAGGGGTGCTTTTCCACGAACTCAGTCCAAAGCCAGCTCTGCCGAGGGGCAGCAACATGCAACAAGCTACCGTTTGTCATGAACAGTATTGAGATGAGTTAGAGACGGAGCTGATACAGAAAAGCTCTGGCAGACAAGATGTGTCACGGCCTTTATGGAAACAAACCACAAATAAAAGACTGGAACTTGAGCTGCTTCCACTTTGCTGATGTGCAGATACCCGCTCGGTTCCTTAATTTCTGCTGGCAGATGTCTGCAGCTCACCCACCTGCTCTCAATGCACAGCACAGGCCGATACAGACCCTCTTCCCGTCCCATTTCACACCCACAGTTCCCTGCTCTATCAAGGGAACAATAAAAGCCACCCCTTGATGCAAAAGAAGGGCTTCTGCAGCCACAAGAGATAAGCATCACAGAGCACATGACAAGCCTGTTATTGTTATGGGAAGACCTCTCTACACCACATTTTCCAGCAGAGAGAATGACTCATAGGTTAGGCACGCTACCCCTGGCAGCGAGCCGTCTTCACCGATTCTTCCTGCATTGCTCTGCATGGGACGCTGCCAGCCCAACAGAAAGCTGTGGTGCAAAGGTGCATTGGCTACAAGAAGTCCCGCTCGGCCACGTGCACCACACCCTCCCGTGAGCAAGCGAGAAGGGAGCAATGGGCTCTGCACAGCCGGTGCGTCCCAGCTCTAGGCTCTCCAGGACAGTTGATGCATCTCTGAACGAGAAGTGGCTGGCGGGATCCTCGTTCAGAGACACAGAAACCGACTGAACCTGCCCCAAGGGCAGGACTCAAACTTCTTCCCCCGTCGGCTGCTCTAAAGCCACGTGCACGGCTTGCTCGCTCCATTTCAGGGGTGGATTCTGCCCTGCTTGCAGCTCCCGGGAAAGCCCAGAAGCACGCATGGCCCTGGCTGTCCTGTGGCTCCTGCTGCCTCCCCCCGACGCCTTGCCTGGCGCCTGAGCCCCCCAGGCTCTGGCATGGCCACGGAGTGCAGCCCTCTCCTGGGACCAGCTCCTGGGCGAGCAGCAACCCCGAGTCAGGTCCTACCTGGACTCTTGCCTCCTTCCACTTTGCTGGAACTGGACAGTGCGGGATCCTGCACACACAGGAGGGATGGAAGAGCCAGGAGCATGGCCAGAGCTGGCCCCCACAGGGCCATGGCCGTGCGCAGCCCCAGGGGTGACCTCCGCCTCGCGCCGAGCCCTTCTCAGCACTTCTGCGGGAGCTCGGCAGGAGTGAGAAATGAGCAGAGGGAGGAAGCAGACGCTCAGCGCTGCATGTGGTGCAAGAGGCTTCCTCATTGGAGATGGAAACCCCTGGCAGCGTCAGAGCCGCTCTTGTTCCTCTCTCGGGTGCACCGGGTGGCTTCACGCCTCTTTTGTAACTTCACTGCTCTGTGCTGACTTCTGAGACACACTCGCAGACTTCACAGGCAGTAACTGCTGATCACGGTATCGCTAGTCATTGGGTCGGGCTGTTTGCCCTCGACCTAGGTACCAAGGCATCTGCTCAAGTGAAAGTGTGCAGCTGGACCTGCTGTTATGCTGCCAGCAATGGACCACAGTTTAGCAAATGTGTAGGTTTCTGGGCCACGGTACAGCTTGAGCCCTGGACTCAAGAGTAGATGACCTGTCCCAAAGGCCAGGTCATGTGAGAACCCTGTCCATGAGATGGTTGAAGCTCGGTGCTTTGAATCCTGTTGTGTTTTGGAAAGCTTTATGGCACCGCTGCTCAAATACCAAATCCCCGCAGAGTCAAGAGGGACTTGCAGAGGAAACCTCAGTGCCTCACAGCTCGCAGACACAGAATCACAGACAAGGAGGGTTGAAGGGACCTCAGGAGGTCACATCTAGTCCAACCCCTGCTCCAAGCAGGACCAGCCCCAAATGCATCATCCCAGCCAAGGCTTTGTCTACCCGGGACTTCAAAACCTCCAAGGATGGAGAGTCCCCCACCTCTCTGGGGAGCCTGTTCCAGTGTTTCACCACCCTCCTGGTGAGAAGTGTTTCTTATCATTTAACCTCAACTTCCCTTGCTGCAGCTTGAGCCCATTGCTCCTTGTCCTGCCATCTGCCCCCACTGAGACCAGCCCAGCTCCATCCTCTTTGCACCCCCCTGCAGGGAGGTGAAGGCTGCTATTCAATCCCCCTCGGTCTTCTCTTCTTCAGACTAAACCAGCCCAGTTCCCTCAGCCTCTCCTCACCAGTCCTGTCCCCCAGCCCCACAACCATCTTCATTGCCCTTCACTGGACTCTCTCCAATGTGTCCACATCCTTTCTGTAGTGGGGGCCCACACCTGGACACCGGACTCCAGATGTGGCCTCCCCAGTGCTGAATAGAGGGGAAGAATCACTGCCCTAGACCTACTAGCAATGCTCCTACCAGTGCAGCCCAGGACGCTGGTAGCCTTCTTGGCACCAAGGGCACACTGCTGGCTCCTGTCCAGCTTCTTGTCCCCTGTCCCCCCAGGTCCTTTTCTGCAGAGAGCCTGCTCATCCAGGTGGTCCCCATCCTGTACCAGTGCATGGGATTGATCCATCCTAAGTGCAGGACTTTGCATTTGTCCTTGTTAACCCTATGAGATTCCTTTGGGCCCAATGCTCTAATTTGTCAAGGTCAACATAAACTCTACCTATTTACAGCGCCAGCTTGATGGGTGGGAGATCCAACCTGTTAAATCCCTTACACCTGGAGTAGATGATGTCCTAGTTACCCAGGACTTTGGCTGTCGTGGTTCCCCTGCTTGACCCATAGCAGGTTCAGGTGTTAGGTCTGTGTTGTGTCAGGGTGAGGGTAGTCTTATACGGAGTTTAGATTATGGCTATATAGGATGATTTGGACTGGGCTGATCCTGCCTCAGGCAGCACTTGCACTAGATGTGACCACTGGGGCTCCTTTCCTGCCTTACTTGTTTCTGAGTCAGAAACAAATGAGGCCAGTTAGAAAAAGTTGAAGCCTGAGCAGAAGTTGACACATACTGAGGAAGGGCACAGGGGTCATTAGATGTCACTGAGTATCTTCTGAGAGCAGATGATCGGGGGCAGAAGAAAACAGGCAAGCGTTGTGGGGAGCAAGAGCCTTTGGGATGCAGCTCTGCTCATCCACAGTGATTTCGAAGGGGGAGAAAGGGCATTGAAAACTGACACGCACCAAAAGCAGATGTGAGCAGCAGCAAAGAGCCATTGCAGAACGAGGGGAACAGAGGGATCCTTCCAAGAAGCATCAGCGAAGAAGAGAGGGACACAGAGTTACCCCGTCTCATCCCAGTGGAGTCTGGCGACTAGAAAGCCTAGCTTATGGCATCCACGGAGTAACTCCTACTGCAGCTGCCACCAACGCCGCCTCCTCTGAGCAGCCTGTGCAATCGCTCGCTCGCTCATCCAGCTGAAGCCCAGAGCAGGGAGGAAGTACATCTATTTACTGTTTGGAGAACTAAAATCCCTTCCCAGCCTCCCCAGCAGGCTCCATAGCTTGTGATCTGCTGCTTCTTTTTTTGTGCTTTTAACCACAGGCCCAGGATTCCCTGCCATGTATTTCAGCTGCATCAGCAGTTGCACACAGCTGTACATTTGCTGCCGTGCACACCCACCACTAATGTCCTCACAGCTCAGAAGCCCCCAGGGAGATCCATTTTCCAGCCTTTACCCCTAGAATAAGGTTTCCACCTTATTCTAGGAGTAAAAAATAAGGTCTCTTCCCCAAAACGCTGTGAACTGAGGATGCTAAACTGAAAACAAGTATTTTGGTAGATGCTGCCACAATGCTTTGTAGGAGCTAGAGCTACTCGGTGCTCCAGTCTGGACCAGGCTCCCTCGTCAGGCTTCATCTTCCATAATGAACTGTAATCTCTGTTCCTGGGAGGGCCCGCATGGAAATCCCTGCAGACAGAATCTGTAATTAGCCCAGCCCACAGAAATCAGGAACCTGCATTGCAAGTCCAGGGTAACAGCCTGGCAGCTTATATAGAAATCTTTCCTATCCCTCAGAAAGAGTTTGGTTTTTCAGCCTAAAATTTTATACATTTTTTTTCCAGTTAAAATCCTGACTTTTCCTGGAAGGCATGAAAAATGGGGGAAAATATGTTAAAAACCCGGCCAACATTCTGCATAGGAATTTCTCTACCAGCCCAACCTGCTGCACCCTATCTTTGCCTTTGGTTTTGCTAAAACTGCAGACAAAAGGGGGTTTTCTTGCTCAGGACTGGAACTAGTCCCTGCAGGCTGCGGCAGCACACGGGAGGTACACGGCTATAATTAGTGCAGGCTGCAGTGAGAGAGATACAGATATGTGTATGCTGAGCACAGCAGGGAGTGGCTCTCCTCCTACAAATAGCTGCTTTTTTATAGTTTGTTCCAGTTCTTCGACTGATCCTAAACTACAAGGCTCCCTTCACCTGATGCTGAAGCAGCTGTCTTTGGGATGAAACAGCAGCAGCAAGCAGCACTGCAGACAAGCAAGGAAGGGCAAGAGTGCACTTCAGTAATTCCCACCACCTGGAAGGTGAGGCTATTCTGGCGGTCCACCGTCCAGTGCGGATAACCTCAGTGACCTGTCCATTCAGAGAGGGGATGGTGGACTCTCAGGAGAAGTAATGGAAGCAGCATTTTTCCACGTACGTCATCTGATCGGTCGGCTTCAGAAATGGCATCACGTCCCATGACTGAATGGAGCTCTGGTGCCCATTTCACAGGTGCCCGGAGCAGATACCCTTATTCAGCGATGCTGCCAGGATTGCTCCTGCCTCCCTGTGAGATCGGTCCACCTTAGCTATGTTATAGCCCATCTGCACATGGTTATTTGGAAGGCCATTGAGAAGTCACTGTGACCTCCATCTGCCTCACTGTGGAAATAAAGAGGTGAGGAAACAACCTTATGGCTTTTGTCTCTTGGTGATTACTGTGGCAGGACAGTAGGGGATGCTACTAGGCTGAGCCACCTGCCTCACTGTGCCCAACCAAAACCAGGCTTGGGGTGTCTCCCCTGGGGCTCCTACATCCAGCCAACCCCCTTCCTGGAGCACACCCGCAAGCCTGGGGTAATTGCTGTCACCACCCGGGCTCTGGAGTCTGTCGAGGCTCGGTGCAACCCAAGGTACACAGACCCTGAAAACCTTGGGGGTGCTTAGCCCACCATGGTATTTTGGAGTGCTCCTTTTAGCCTGATGCATTCAAAAGTAGCCTCCTGTACTGGAGGAAAGTAAAACGTGATGCCCACCCTAGCTAGCTGAGCAAAGGGAGCTAAAAAGGCTTGTCTCACCCTTCTCCTCTCAGAGATTCACAGCCAGGCATGCTGTAACAGATAGCTTTTATTGATCCAAGAGGGAGAGAATGGGGAAGAGGTACAGGACAGAGAAATATTACAAGAAAAATGCCTTCAGCAAAACAGAATAAATTGAGCCTTTCAAATACAGGCATGTGGCCCTTTTAACACATGGCTGAAAACTTAGTTCTAAGCTAGTAGCCAAATTCCAGATTTCTACTTACAAATCTTCCTAATAGTTTGTCTCTCATGGAGGCACATCCTTCTGTGTCTCTGTTCCCAAAGATAACTGACTTCCCCTTCCCAACATGCCTGCTCCAGGACAAAGGGAAGAACGAGCTCCCCCTCCCTTAGGAATTTTTACAGCCCAGTCCCCTAGGCGACCAGACTTGGTTGCCTAGGTGACCACGTAGCTGAATCAGAAAGGGGGTTGCGGCCTGGGCTGTTTCAGAACAGGGATACAGGGAGAGGAGGGGTTTTTTCCACAACTACAAGCCAGCGTTTTTTCCAGAACTACAAACCAGGGCATGTCTCACACCTAGAATACAAAGGAATGCTTCCCATCCTAGAGATTTTAGGAAACATTTGGGGTAGGAGATTTGCTGGTTTAAGAAAACTCTGTGCCCATATTCATCAAGAACTTGGGCTGAGTCCTTAAGGATACCTTGTTTGGATGGAATCCAGATGCAGGGGGTAAGGGAGGTCTGCAATCAGGCTTGGAGCTCCCTACCTTCACTGGACAGGGTTTCACAAGGGCGAGCCCAGCTCCTGGGTACAGTCTAACCCAGCAATGAGATGCATTAAAGTAAACCCTTTCCCTTTCACTAGCCAGTTCTGCTGCAACAGCCCCGAGAGCAGGAGGACTCACAAAGAGGAACCACGCTGGGTTGGCTCCAGCCTGCAGAAACTAGCACTTGATCTGAACAGTGGCAACTTTTCAGTTCAGCTGTTTAGGGACAAATGGC